TGACTCCGTGCTCGTATCCACGTTTGGCCTTACTCCCTCGTGAAATGCGGCTTCTGCTAGGCGGATCCTGCTATTGAAGCGAAAGACGCGATCCTCTGATCGTTAGACGCCTACGTAGTCGCCATCGCTCAAAGAGCTTATCATCATCTGCAGCGGTTTCGCCAGGGGCGAGCACCACAGGGATGGTCCGCAGCGCGGGAGCAAGAGCACCTCTTTTTAAGTCGAGCACGGTCCCGATCCTTTGGTTACCAAAACGTAAGCTCGCAGAGCTTCCCGCTGATCAAGCTCAGTCTTGAGTAATGTACGTTACAGCGAAGCTGAAAGGAAGTGGATGTGCGCGTTGAACGCCATCTTAGATTTGAGTTTGACGAACTCAAGGCGCAACGCCGATTTCCTGCGTATTGTCGCCATGGTGACGAGAAGTCAGGAAACGGACATGAGCTTGCCAAACGGAAAGCTCTTCGAGCTCGCTTCTTGGTTTTACAAGAAATTCCGTTGGAAGTTTATCGCACTCTTCTGCGTGCTGAACGAGGTGGCTCTCGTGTACCCGCAATACGGACAATACGTGTAGAGCTCGCCCCTGGCGAAAGCACTACAAATGACGAAGCGCGCTTTGAGCGATGGGTGCAACGACACCGGAAGCTTTCCTCACTGTACAACTCACAGTTGAGCCACAAGGAGGTGGACGTGCGTGTGGAGCGACACCTCCGCTCTGAGTTTGCCAAACTCAAAACACGCCGTCGACTTCCTTCAGATTGTCGCCCTGCGACGTATGCATTAACAATCTCCAATGCTCCCGCGAGCTCTGAGTCTCCGACTGCAAGAGCTCAGGGCCAATACTTGAGCTCAGCTATGGTCCTTCTACTTTCCTGGCTATTGCCAGGCTCTGTGTCTGCGACCGCAATAGCTCAGGGTCACTGCTTGAGCTCAGCTCACGGCCCTTCTACTTCCCTGGCTATTGCCGGGAAGCGCGGGGCGTGTGATGACGCAAAACGTCCTGATCTTTCCAATCAAACGCGACCACGGCGACTGGGCAATCTTGCCGAAGTGGCATCTCAAACTCCCACGAGTTTTCGGACTCAAGATATCCCCACCACTTCACCAGACATTGAGCTTGATTCTGGGGACGACGTCGTCTCACTAGACGTTCCACGTGATAGTGGACGTCATCGTTCTCATCGAGAAGAGTCGGTGGCGGGCGGTGACGATCGGGTCGACCGCCGTTCGGTGATTCGTGATGCTAGGACTTCTTCGGCGCCAGTATGCACCGGCCTGCATAGCATACAGCTAGCACCGCCCTCAAATGGACGATGTGGTTTTCCGCATCTGTCTCCCTTGGTCCAGACGACTGGGGACGAAAATGACGTCAAAGTATGTCGTAGCATACGCCCGATGGAGCCTAAACATTTGCGACGATTACATGTTGCTGATACATTTGACAGCCCTTACGACATCACCAGCCACTCCCAGAGCGTCCCGCTCGAAGTACTCACCGCTGTCAGTGGAATATTTCTCGCTCTCGTGGGCAATTGGTAAATATCATCGACTAAGTCGAGTGCACTGTACTTTGTACAGCCAACCATATTGTTCTTGAGAACATCCTTCTCAGTAATCGGCGTCAGGGCCGGAATGGTAGCAGCGTTTGGCTTATTATAAGCGTGAAGATTCGCCACTTGCCGTTCGGGTTTTGGACACAAAACGTGGTTTTGAATGAAGAGATTTGCTCTCGCGCACCATTCTTGCGCCGTGTTTTGCACGGAAAAATGCGTTAATTACGTCACACTGCTCCTTGGGCAGGGGCCATATGATTGTTACGCAGTATTTGGTTCCCGGAATCAGGTCGATTTTGTGACGCACACCTCGGTCCTAAGGTAGGACTGATGGCGGGTCTTTGGTGACGACGTCCTGAAATTCCTTCGGTAAAGAATAATTTGGATCCGAGGGATTCGTCAGGATCAAAGATCCACTTCGAGCGCTCATCACTTTCTTGGTATCCTCTAGTACAGCCTTATCCAGAGCGACGACGAGTTGATCTCCTCATCTGGTCATATAGCGACCACTTTGGCTAAGTCGCCTGCCTTGAAGGCGCCGCCAAACTCTTTGAAATTCATTTCGTCCAACTCAAGAAAATCATCCACCGCAGAAAAAGCCTTGAGGGAAACGTCGCCGTCTCCTTCCCGGTCACACTGTTAACGAGGGTGTATAGCTGTACACTATCGTCTACGGTAGACACATCCTATATCAGGATCGGCGCCCGGCGTCTTGCGGCTAGCATACGGCGTTGCCGTCGCCTCTCAACATATGCTGTGCGTCTCGGCGAGACCAGAAGGAGCACGCATTCAGCTTCGTCCACTTCCTGCTCCATCGGATCCTTGATGTTAGTGACAAAATCCAACGACGAACTGCTATCTCAGCCGCCATCGTCCAGTGGATAACGTGCCACACCACACGCATATGAAGGACCTTGCCAAGGATGCCTCGGAACTTGTCCAACCGTGCCACTTGTGGCATGCAGCGACTGCTGCGAAACGTGAGCAGTGCTCAGTTAACTACGTGTCACTCCACGTGTATCCTTGGGATCTCGCCCTCAAATTCTCTTATACGAAACCTGAACAGCGGTTCGCGAGTTACGTGCCGCTTCACGTCAAGCCCGAGCCATAGTGACCCCTGTCCGATACACCTTCAGTGTTCACCGACTCGATACTCCAATCTCCAGCATGTTGACCGTCTCAATCCAGCCTCGCGCCAAAAGCGTTTTGCCTCCTCGCAGAGGTGGTTTTACAAATCATCAAAGCTACGTGCGCGTAGCGCTTAAGGTCTTCGACCTCCAATCGATCCATCGTGGTGTAACCTTCGGCACCGTGGCACATGTCTCCATCGCTAAGCGAACAGTGACGATGTCACTCAACTGTGCTTTCAGCGCAGCAGCATACAGCTGATTTCCTTTCATCGTGGAGCGTCGTGTATAATTGCCTGACGCCACGGAGTCGATTAGTATCTTCCATGACTTCTCAAAGCCCTTCACGGTCGCTTCCACGACCAGCAAGCTCGACTTGCATACACGTTCCGTGTTCAAGAGCACGGAGCTCTTCAAGGTTGGGCTCTGCGGACCTCCACCTCTTTGAGGCTCAACAGAACTCCCTTCTTTCCCGGTAGGCTGCCCCGCGTCTACTGGGTGTTGTCGATTCTTCGCGACAAAACAGAAGACTGGCGAAAAGCAGGACGTCAATTCGATGACCCTTAGCGCGCCTTGCGCAGGTGACAACCGGTCCGAAGGTAAGGGATGTCTTTACAGATAAGACATCGTCGGGTATTTTCAAGCTGCTTGGAGCTCGGATCTCTGCCCCATATTTGATTTCCAAAGGCTCAAGACCCGCTCGACGAGCTGCTAGAGTGTGAATAGCAATCAAGTCGTGTCGAATTATAGTTAAGCTCGGCGATCAGTGTCACATTCACTGCTTCTTCAAAAGAAGACGGATGCACACGAAAGACTTCCTTCCATTCTGGCCTCTGCCTCCTCTGTGCGGAAAAGCTTCATGACGACAGTCACTGTGACCGCTTCGAGAAGAGGATCGGCTACCATCCCGGCGATGAGAGAACGCAACTCTTGGACGAAGTCCACCAACTCCTTCTTGCCCTGGTTGGGTGGCAAGTATACACGACCACACGCGATAGGCCTCGTCGACAAGAACACTCGTGAAAGCTGCAGCTTCAGGTACGTCTGGGAGGGAAGCGCCGCTTCGATCGAAGTGCCGTACGTTGGTGCACATTCCCGCGCTCGATCCCTGAGCTTGGAGATAGCTATCTCTGGAGCATGGCAGGCACCATGGCAATCAGCTGGGATCTGGAAAGCTGATCAAAAATAAGTGCACCATCTAATCCTCCGTCGCTAGATAGTAACAACGAAGTCAATAGATGATGACTGATGTCAATGCTCGCCACACGTTATTTGGTGTGCGAGCTGTCCTTGCAGAGTCATCGTCATAATGTCTACCCCTTTTTAATTTTTTTAAATCTGAAACTTATCAAGTAATATGAAGATTAATGAGTGAGCGCACTGTCTTCTGCTCCATGATACACAGCATGCCGTTGTGATGTTGTAACACGAACAACAGATAATTGATTTATCAAATTCTTACAATTTTATTTGGGTCGCAATATGTTCATAAAAAGCGAAAGTTGAAAATGCTGGCTTTGAATGACAACCGTTTCTTTGCTGCGTGGAAACGTCGCGACTTTGCCAGATATGTGTTTGATAAACTATTAGGGTATCAACATACACGCAATGACATTTCCTGGCACTTTTAACTTAAAGCGCTCAGGTGACTGTGAGTCTCGATCGTCATCTGAAGCCAACGAACAGGTGTTTGAAATTTCTACGCGCAGTCGAATCTTCATATCTCCTCGCAATAGCCGACAGGGGAGAAACTTATCAAGTTATCGTAAGAATAGTGCGAATTTGAACAAGCAAGAAACAACCCGAGGGTGGTCTACCTCTCCAGGCACTCAATCAAGGTGTCAAACATTTCGTGAGATGAAAGCAAACAAGTCTTACTGGACCCATGATCCATGCGAGAGTCGAGCGAAGCATATAATCGAGAAGTCTGACGATACCAACAGCATATCGGAGGATGAAAGTGACGGAGATTCTGACGATCTTTGCAATGACAATGATGCTTCGTTTGACGCTGACATTGAGATAGACGTGCCTCGTCGACTTATAAGTAAGCATCACTCAAGGATCTGCAAGAAAAAGAGGACAAAAGAATGTCAAGTTTCCTTGCAGTCGCTGGCTTCCCCAACAACGTCTGAAAAAGAACTGAAAGAGCTTAAACTCATGCTGAAAAAATTAGCTCAAGATGATGATTGCGGCGACAGTGTAAATATTCAAAAGGAGCCGGTCATATCCTCAGCAAATACTTTGCGTGATTTGACAGCAGCTAGTGGAGCGTCTAATGCTCACGCAGCCGAAGCTATGAATTCTCTACATCCCACAAAAAAGTCGCAAATGAAGAAAAGAAATGCTGTTGCAGTGATGCCGCAGTCGAATATCTACACTGTAAAAAGTAAAGTGAAAAGCACATCGGAAATGACGCGAAAAGCGGGTCATCAGAATAATGCGAGGCGTTGTGATCTGCCTTACGAGTCAACTGAAGCATTGGATAGTTGGGAGACATTTGTAAGAGAACATCGTGCTCTTAACAACAACGTGTTTTGCTCTCCCCCCTCACCATTTCGAAAACCAAAACCATTGACGTACCCACCTCAAGATACTTTCAGTATAAGAGATAATAATGCTCGTGGAGGTGGTATGCAAGGATCTTGCGCAGTATTATCAGCTCTTAAAGCGTTGCAGGACAAGGTCAATTGTCTAGAGAACGAGCGTGAAGACTTAACCCAGCAGCTTTCTGATGCTCAGCTAAGTGAGCGAAAAAGCAAAGCAAAGCTGCTTACAACCAGAAAGAAATTTTCTAACGAACTAGCACTAACAAAAGAGTCTGGACGAGCAGCATACGATACACTGCGAAATGATAATGAAGAACTGAAACTGCAGCTGATGCAAGCCGAGAAGCGACGGGAAGATAGCCAAATCAAGTTAAACCACTTCCAAGAACTTGCACAAAATTTGTCAACGAAAGTAGATGATTTACAATCGCAGCTTAAAAATTCTGAGTCACGATATTCACGCGTAAAAGCTGGTAATTTTAGTCTTATGGAATTTTTTCAAATCCGCTCATCCACTTTTATCTTTACAATGTTAACAGATTCAGAAGATTCCAAAAGAATTCAGCGAGAAGCGGTGGACAAGCTGCAAAGGGAGCTGATACGGATGCAGCAAAACCAGCAAGAGAATGTCAAGCAATTTGAGCTACTTGAGATTCAGTTTCGACGTGAGGTCGCTGATCACGCCGAGAGTAAAAAGAAGCTTCAAGTCGCAGAGGTACACGAGTGATTTCAGTTTTTGAGCGTCAGCTACAGACACTGACATTATCCGTTCTTATTAATCAGGAAACGGTGGCTTTGATCCTGCAAATAAATGATTCATTGGTAGCCAAATTAGAAAGGACAACAGAAGCTGTAAATGAGGCACTGAAGAGGAATAGTGTGCTCGAGCAACAAACTCGAGAATCAACGTTGCTTCAATCCACAGCAGCTTGCCAAACCAGTCCAAAGGTAGGCAGTGAAATTGTTACACGAAGAGCAGCAAGCACGTCAATTGTTCATGGAGGTAACAGGGCCACTTCGATACGATCGCTCAAAAAGAAAAGAGTACCGTCCGACACGATTGCCTCAACCACCACAAAACGTAAAGGGCGAAAAGCGTCAACAGTGTGATTATCACACGGCAGGGAGCTCTGTTTAGCCGTCCAAGATAGCAGTTGATGCTAGCCTTAAGTCAACAATAAGGGGTAATTGTTGAGCGCATTTATCTTAAGCCTTAAATTATTGCTTGAAGAGGTAAAAGCGTAAAGGGTAGAATTGAATTTCATTGCTCAAGCAAAAGAACTCTCGTCTACAGAGATAGATAAAGCAATTGTAACTTTCATTTTTCCCTACAAAACGATCGGGAACAAGAAAATGTGATTTCGTTCGATTAGTCAATATCTTCACCGTTCTTCCGTTTTTTTCTGGAGCTAACCACCGAAGTGGAACTCGAGGTGAGGTTCTCTCGTTGATATTTTTCTAATAGGTAAGTCTAGAAGTATTGCATAGAATACAGCAAATAAACGTCATTTAGCTTTTCAAGCACGATCACAACTGAGATACAACCGACCAAATTTGGTTGTTTCCTGGCAAGCAGTATCACGTCTTCAGTCTTAATCATCTTACGATTAGCATGACGTGCGAAAAATTGCAACTCGGTCGCCATCACTGCAACAAAGTGTAAAAGTCTGTTTGAAACGTAACGTGAGACAGTTAAATACCTTCCGCCTGTTTATAGACGAGATCGGCCACGAGCGCCATGGCTTCCTTCGACAATTTAGGACGAGCACGTGCACGGTGCTCATGCTGCTGGTTCTCCGCTAAATTATAGCCACATTGTTAAAATAATGATTGCTGACATACTAAAAAAGGTTTTGAACAACCTTCTTCGTCGCATATACGGCCTACAGTGTACAAAATGCTCTGGCGCATAAGTAGCTCCATGTTTTCTGAAGAGCTCATGACTTCGTGAATTTCAATTATCGATGAATATGCGATGAATTGTGTGGAGAACATAGATTGCCAACAATGATCTTTTGATTGCTTAAAAGTTAAGAAATATTTCGAGTATCAAAAGTCGCATGGCGGAGATTGACGCGGCCGCTGCGTTAGAGGAGTTACTGTTGCTGCAACACGCTTATGTTAACAATTCCAAGACTTCCAAACAAGATAATGTATGGTATGCAATTATTAAAGGTGTGAATGCAATGGCACTGATATCGTTTGCACTCTCGATTCTAGTCTTTCGAAAACGTATTCACGTCATTTCAGTCAATGCTATTAGATCCAAAGAATCATGAAGGGTCATTCTGGCAGCTCGATATTTTCCAATTGATTTCTTCTGTACTTACAGATCAATTAAGTAGCTGCATTGGTGAAGCAGTAGATGCTGTAATTTCTGAAACGCTGCAGGATCCTGAGTACGTCTTAAGCTGCGTAAAGGCTCGTGTCGAGACGAGTCATCAGCTTCAAGAGACTTTAGCGCAATTACAAAACATGTTAAAGAGGTCAGCAGATCTACTTAAGGAATCAACGGATAATAAATATGCGGTAACGCTTGAATCCAATAATTCCTTGGCTTCATTCTGGAATAAAGTGCAAGAAAAGATTGACATGAGGAAGAAAAACGAATTACTCGCTGAAAATCAAAAAAGCGTTGATTCGAGTTTGAACGATTGCTCATCTGAAATACTAAGTTTCGACGAGAACTTCATGTCAAGGTCAGCAACGAGGTGAGTCATGCTCCGTGAGTTAGAGAAAAGGTACATATTATTTGATATTTGGAGTGAAAGAATCTCTTGTATAGACAACCTTCCTTCTACGATTCAAAAAATGCAGAGTACTGATAAGGTGGAACGTACAAAAGGACTAAACGAGTTTGTGCAGGTAAAAAATCTTGTTTTATCGAATGTCAAAAAGCATTGTTTATCACTTCCGAATGGGTGAAATACAATCGATTCCCTTAGGTGCCAATGACAGAGATTCTAAATTCGGGATTGCTTTTTCCTGCTTCTTGCTCTGCGATTGTCACGTTCTTTCTCGACACAACGCGAGCCCACAGAATTGTGTGCGATCTGATGAATCAAATTGAAGATGCATATCAGTTCCTTGAATTGTTTTGGGCGGTTCTGAATTTTATTGGAATGCACGTGGAGAGTGGCGAACTGCTTCTAATCGAGGAAGACTTAAGTCACAGCACTGATGTACGTTCAATTCTTGTTCTCGACTGTTTTCGAGTACTCTACAGGTTACTGTACACTGTCATGCGACACTGGATACACTTTTCAGCCGAAGCACTTGCTCAACTTTTGCACTCGAGCTTTTACCTTCTGTCTTTGTATTCAAAGAAGGAAACTAAAGCCGAAACGGAACAAAGGACTCCTTTGACAATACTGTTCGTTCTTAATGATGATCCAGTGCGGTGGCTGATGCTGTGGTTACTCAATGTCCCCAATCTTTCACAATTGTTTCGCGCGATAGACGATTCTGGATTCATCATTGATCTGTTGCAACATTTGTCTTGTCTCCAGCCATTAAATCCAGTGACACCCTTCACTTCACTAAGTGCAATATTAGAAAAGCGGACCATGCAGTGTGTAAGTATCACCTTTATGTGTATTATAATTGCTGATGTAATGATTCTGCTGTAACACTTTTCCAATCAGATGTTGACTATCGTTTCATACATCTGTGAGTACCAGCAAGGGCGAGATCTACTAAGCCAGTGGCAAGAAATTCCTGCCCTTCAATATATTAGACAACGCCATACAACATGGATCCGACCAGCTTTGGAGCCCATTGCCATCAGCAATAATCTCATTTATGGTAAGATAGTGATGCCGGCCTCGACAAAGCAAAGCAGTTGGGTAGAAGTGCCGCTTGATGATTCGATGGCTAGCTGCAAGATCCTTGGGACGAATGTAATCGATGCAATTATTCTCTCAATTGCAACGGTCTGTATCATTCAGTTGTTTTTGATAAGGTATAAGCGCTTAATCTTTTGCTTTTTAGCGTATCTTCAGTTTATTGTCATTGGACCGATATACTTGCATGAGGACATAGATAAGGCTTTCAATGATCGCTGGGCTATAGCGAGTCTGAAAAGTGCTGCAACTTATCTGCATCGTGCAGATGATAACGACTTGGTTTCAACACTCCTTAAAGTATGATACAACCACAAAATGCCTCTCTGAACTTGTCAGTAATCTGTGTTTTGTCGTAGATCGTTGATGCTTGCTGGACTGCAAAAATTTCAGGTCACCTGAAGGGTGTGACAGAAGAACGAGAAATGTGTTCATGGTTCCCTTTCAGGCAACCGAATACTCAAATCCACCAATTATTATATTCATGCTTGTCAACACAATCTCGCGATGAAGATGCGATTTTAAAGCTCCAAGCCTCCGGTCAACTACTTTTGCAAATGATCCTGTCAAGCAAAGCTGTGATTGATGTTGCTATTCAGGATCCTGATTCACGCACAACAAAACATGTTTTCGAGTTATGCAAACGCTTTCTACAGTCGCACTATGGTAAAGCGACGGACAACAACAGGATAACGGATGATTGGATCTGTGAGGAGAGCAAACTTTTTGACTTAATAGTGGATACGGCACTTCATCCAAAGATATTTAAAGTAGCGAAAACAGCTCAAGTTATTCATGAGCTCTGGAATATTTGCACAATATTCTCCAAACGAAAAGATGATAAAGACTTTCTACATCTGAGCGGCCGTATCGTACGTTCCGTGTGGCATTCAGCAAGAGCACTTGACGAGCTAGATACCGTGATCGTGACTACCTTTCTACATACTCGGTCGCAGGATATAACAGAGCTAAGTATTCGAGAGCTTTTGGGCTGCTTATCAAATCAAGACTCTGCACAGACCTTTTTCGGTCTTGCCAATTTTCAAGGAATGTTAATTCAGACTATCTTCGAGCTCCAAGCGTCTACTGACTTTACTTTAGCTCTTAATAGCTCCGATGATGAATGTCCATTCAATCTGATCACCCCAATGAGACGCTTGCAATGGCTGCAATGCTGTTTGAGCTCACACTTTGCATGTTCGTCACTACTTTCCATGAAAACGAGTCCATTGATCGATTTCTTCGCTAAAATGCTGATTCGTCACAAAGCAGAAACGTGTTTGAGATCCTGTTGTGCTGAAGATACTTGTTGCGTAGTATTTCAGCTCCTTCTGTCGCTAGTCTCGAGTGTTCCATCGATGCTCAAGTGCAGTTCATTGCTGTCACAACTCAATGTGATCGCATTTAATGACGAAAGTACACTCCAACGAGGCGCTTTCTGTGACACAAACGACATTATAAGTCCCTGCTCGCTTGTTGAGAAACAACTTTGCTACGAATACAAGTTTATTGGTGGCCCAAAGGAAAAGTTGTCTCGATGCGAGCTTTCTGCTTTTAAAGTACACACGAATGCATTTGAAGACGTTTACGAAGACTCTATTGCCAAGAAGCCAAATCATTTTAAATTTGAAGCTGCTTTTGTACTTCAAAACAGAATATTTCAGTTGTTTCAGGCCAGCTCAGAGCGTATGGAAATCGCAGAAATCTCGCAAGCTTCGTGGGATCTTATTCATCACCTTGAAACTCAATTTGAGATTGAATTTCCTCAAGGATTGAGAAGTTCAGCCAGTATTTTTACTGAAATCTTTGCTAGACTCATTTATTGTCTTGTGGTGAAAAGGAGCAGTTTGTTATGTTCGACTAAGAAACCAAAATTCAAGCCTGACGATACTCATTGTTCCTCTACCGACTCTGAGCAGAAGTGCATGAGCCGTTTATACCAAAACTATGCGAGTGGACTATCATTAGAGTCATCTTCCACCCTGATGGATTCTATTGTCGATACTTTTGGCAGTATTTCACTGGGTTGTTTTCCCGTGACGATGTTGATGATCTTGTATCCAACCTACGAAGAAGCTGATATCGCAAAGTTTTTATCGTATTGTTTTGCAAGTTCATCGACTGAATTCCAATGGCTACGAAGCCCTTATAGTTGCGCTGGAGAAGGTTCTTCAAACACGACAGATATAATTATTGCTCAGAAAGTGGAACTGATACTTCACAACGAATTTCCTCAGGTTCTGTTTAGTTGACTTTGAAACTTGTTCAGCCCTAATGAGATTTGGTTCAATATTTCCAGATTATACACGCAATCGATCAGTGTCAATGTTCTGTATTGACTCTTGTGATGCGTTGGCATAGCCAACATTTCTGGAACTATTTAGATTGGGAAAATATTGTCATCTACACATATTTAATCATCTTATACGGAGTCGATTTTCAAGTAAGTGTCAATTGCTGCGTGAAATGCTTTGAAGAGTTGATATCCACGACTTTGTTGTTACTAGGTTTATGTGATTGTCGCTATTTTGAGGCATTTGGAGCCCACATTGCGTGAGTTGACGGCTAAGCACAGCTCGCAAAGTCTTGTACCTTTCCTCACTCTTCTTCGTGAACCAATCCGAGATTTTCGTTTTAGCTCGTGGGAAAGTTATCTTCTCCATCTACAAAACAAAGATCACAACAGGCATGACGAGCTTTTGTCTTCTCCACAATAAACCTGTTCTTCGACCAGATGCTAAGAAACTACGACATTTTATGACGTATGAAATTGAATTTAACATTAATTACATATTTTGAGTCTCCATCCACTCGCATGCTCACTTCGCTTGCTCCGTTTATGATTAAAATTTCTTTGTATGGCGTATGCTTCAGGTCTTTGAATCTACATCAGTCACCTCATCTGCCATGTCACGCTGCACTTCAATCATCAACTCTCCTTTGTGCTTTATCTGCTGTTAATATTAGATGTTTGTTACGAAAAATCCACAGACAGATAAACTTCGGTATTTGCTTGGAGAAAAACGAAAGAATGATTGAAGATCACATTTGACGCTTTCACTTTTTTGCAGGCTTAAAACGGTTTAAAACATTTTCGACAGATACCCTTTCAATATTAATCGTGTCTTACTCACTTATAAACCTTTGTATTAATGAAGCGAAAATAGTCCTTCTAATAAAACCAAGTGAAATAGTCTCTTTCTTGAATTCAGATTTGTAGCTTTTCAACGTATTCTCAAGTTTCGCCTTGAGTTAGAAGTTATCAGTTTTTGACATTCGATCAGCTCGGTTTGTTCATCAAACCGCCACCTACAGTGTGCTGACATTAGTGTACGCATTCAGGTATTAGCGAAAAACTTTTTCACGAACAGAATTTTGACCAACTCAAATCATGATTTAAAAAAGGCATGAATAGCTACCGCACTGAGCCATTGATCTCAACATCACAAACACCCAAGCCTTCAGTTTCCACGCGAACAAATCCTGTGGCTCGACCTACCTGCTGAAAACTGAATACTATAGTAATAATTGCAGCTAGCCCTGGTGCCAAGCGCGCAGACTCCCGATGATAATTGGCTTTTGCGATACTAGCCTTAGCTCCTGCACATGTCGCCACTACTTGATTGACGCGAAAGCGTTCTTGTTTACTGCCCACATTTTGAATTCGCATAGGAAATAGGTAGATTTGTCCAGAATGTAGTGTGCCTAAATTAAGCGACGAAGGAGATAATATTATTGCGGAGTGATGAGGTACCGAAGGAAGTGCCTCGTGTCCTCGTTGATGTCGAAGCTCAGAACAAATTGGAGCGAGTGAAGAGTCGATGGGTTTACGTTGTACAATGTCAACCCGATCATTAGATTTTTGATTTTCACTTATCCCATTATTATATTCCCATGACACACCAGTGTAAGGAGCAAGTGCAAGCAGTTCTGCTCCATCTGATGAGACTTCACAGCTGGAACGAAGTGAATCTATTTTCTCGCGATCATATTTCAAACTTTTGCGATCTTTGAGATATTCTCGCTGCGAGTCCGAAATATCAGAACTTTTTGAGATGCTCATGTCGAGCAGTGACAATGCTGCTAGATTTTTTTTGTCTGCTAAACCCTCTTCAATGTCGTTTTGAGTAACTTCGTAAACGGGACTGGCTGCAACATTCGAAGAAATTGCTGACTTGGTTGATGCTACGCGTGGTTCATCAACAGACATCAGATTTTGAGGTCTTGGTGATGCTATCAATGGAAAAAAGGAGGTTCGCGTCTTTAATCGATACTTTGGTCCGATAAGCGTCTGAATACCGTGATCAGTCAACACCCAGCAGACTTTCTGCGTGGGCGTCACACGTTTTCGCCAGATAGGATTCTTGCTGTCATTTATAACAGTTGAAGCAGACTGGAAATTTAATCTCGGTGACAAAGTGTTTGCTAATCCTTTCGATGAAGGGGGTGCCAAGATGGATCGTTGACGATTTAAATTGCCCATATCCCGCGACGCCATCATCTTAAAGTCATTTACTTCTTGAGGCGCGTGGTGTGTAATAAAATCGTGATCACCAACAAACTTGCTTCTGTCAGTGAGCGACCTGCAACTATAAGGCTGAATAAGTTTATATTCCTCATAATCTGGAATGGCCATCAGTAATAGTGCGTTCTTTGGATCAAGCACAGTAGACTTGCATATCTGTCGAGCGATTTGTTCTGTATTATTCATTTCCCTTCTACTAGGTAGTCGACTGATGTTTGGTGGAGGTGTAGGCTTAAAGGTAGCGTGAAGCATCGAAGGCATAGAGAAGGTAGAGAGATAGAGAGATGTTGGGAGGAAGACTGATGCTTTTTATAGTTATTGTCATGGTTCGTCATAGTATCATACGATTGGTGAGAATATATCTAATATCTGATTGGGTAATATAAGTGTGTCTTCGTAAAAGCTCCACGTACACAGAGGGGGCTGCATTGAAAGGAATCTTCTTGCAGAATGGTCAGTTAACCACGTCGTTTTCTCTTCATGGCAAGGACGTGACAGCACGTCTTCTGCTTTATCGATATGATAGGAAAATCTCGTGCTGCTTTGATGTGTTTCATGCTCTAACTCGCTCTACGGACGTCGCTATGCCAATGTGTAGGTGGTGCTCTCGGCCTCATTGCTGACTAGAAATGGCAAAGGTACGATAGAATGAAAGCGATTGATCCAATACGTCTAATTAATTTTCATTCGATTTTACCTATTATGTTTGATTCCTGTGATTTTAGTGCTCGTGGCGCGCCAATTTGTCGAAATCACTCGAATTCGACTTGAGGTGAGTCCATCACAAATGGATATTCTAAAGAATTGAACATAAAATTTGGGATATTGATGCATAGGGTCTCCTTGCGGCATTTCCGAAGCTTTTGTCAAGTGGTACACGTGAACACACGTTCATTGACACAGAGAGTGTGCGCTACGTGTATCAACCGTTAGAGAATTTTTTTGTGCTCATTATTACCAACAAGACGAGCAATATTGTGGAAGATTTGCACATTATACAATTACTCGCCAAGCTTGTACCAGATATCTGTGCACCTCTTAGTGAAACTTCTATTCGTGACAAACAGTTTGAGTTGGTCTTTGGGTTTGATGAGCTCGTTACAGCGGGTGGTCATTCTGAGAACATAAATGTGTCACAAATTCGTATGAATATGGAGATGGAAAGCCACGAAGAGAAGCTGCATAATATGATTCTTGAAAGCAAACGTGCAGCAGCTAAAGATGATATGAAGCGCCATACAGCGCGTATTAAAGAAGAACAGCGTGAACGTGCTCGATTAGAGCGTGCTGGTATGGGTGGTAGCGGATCTGGATTACATAGTTCGTTTGGAAGCTCGTTTAGTAGTAAGTTTAAGTCTCCACGAAGTGACAACAAAAGCAGCTTTATGAGTAGCCCGAGATCACCAAGTGCTACGTCTCCGACGTCGTATAACAGTCGTCCAGCGCCAGTTGTTTCGAAAGGTGCTGGAATGAAGCTTGGAACGTCGAGTAGTGGTCAAGGCATGGGATTAGGAAGCGGTGGCAAGTCGTTCATGGATGCGATGGCCGCAGAAGACGGATTAAAAGAAATCCCACCGATGAGTGCTGTGGTGGAGACGGTGCAGAAGCCAGAAATTGCAGTTGCAGTGAGTCATGACCCAATTGGTGCAGTGGTAGAAGAAAAGATCACTGTTGTTATTACTCGAGACGGTGCTCTTGAACAATTAGAAGTCAAGGGCAGTATGTATGTATCAGTAAACGATCCAAGTGCGGGGTGCTGCCGTCTGAAGCTTCGCACAGGTGAGATTGAAGGCATTTCATTTCAAACGCACCCAAAAGTGGACAAGCGGCTTTATGACAAGGACTCTGTGCTCGCTTTGCGAGATCCTTCAAAGCCATTTCCAACTTCTCGTGTGGCGTTTCTGCGCTGGAGTTTAAAGACACAGGACGAATCGATGTTGCCGTTGAACATTACGTGTTGGCCTGAAGAGGAAGGGGATGGAAAGATGAATGTCAGTGTCGAATACTCGTTAGATCGCGACATGGTTTTGGACAATGTAAACATTATTATTCCACTTGGAGGTCACGATGCACCGAGCGTTGCGAATGTGGACGGACAGTATCAGCACAACTCAGCCGAGGGTTCACTCCTTTGGCATCACGACCAAATCAGCTCTGCGTACGTACATTCGACTCTTATCTATCTTCTAATTAACCCAGTAGCTTAAATTGTTGTCTTGTTTACAGCAATAATTCAGGCACACTCGAGTTTACGATCCGTGGTAATCACCTTGATGCATTCTTTCCCATCTCTGTCTCGTTCTTTTCGCGCAGCGTGTATAGCGACGTACAGGTGGAAGCAGTTGAAAAGGTGGAGGACGGCTCGTCAATTGCATTTGGATTTGAAAAGCTCCTTTCGACGGACTCGTATCAGATTGTATAGAAACGAATTTAAGTGACGTGCGTTAATTTCATTTCGTGCGAGACGATAGCCATAACTTCTTAGTACAAACGAGGTCAAAGGTCTCAAGGCCCATTGTGTTTGTGTATGCTTGTCTACGGAACAGCATTAGGACGAAAAACTTGGGGCTGCGACGCTCGTAGAATCTCTTCACTCTTACTGCGTAGACAACGTTCAAGCAATCGTTTTGTCTGTGCACACTCCTGAATGTGCTTCTTCCCTATCTTGACTGATGAGATACAAGCCTTCCACTCCAGCAGAGGTTTCTCACAAAGCGCCTTGCCGATACAATCAAGATACGCGGAATACGACGTCCATGCTGCTTTCTTTCTGTCCTGACTTGCAGCAACGTTGTTATTACTATTAACAAGTGCATCATAATAGTCGTCGCAAGCTCTTAGACTCTGATATTGATCTTTAAAATGACGACTGGACTGTAATGCATGTTCTGCATACTCTCCAAGATTCCCCTCCAGCAGCATCTATCGAATTTAGCCACAGGTTACAAAGTCGAAAGTAGCGTAGATTATGAATACTACAGGGCAATCAATACGCAAAAGCTAGCGCAGAGACGAAGCTTATTCATCTATACACTTGTATCAATAGTCAGTACCTCGTGGAGCCGCATAGCAGACGAACATTGCGGCGGACTGAGGTCATGTGCATCATTTTCGTGCATTATTATTCGGGTTTGGCATGGTGTAACGCACACCAATCATTATTGTCGCATCTGTGATGTATCACACATCATCAGGCGAAAACTAAACGACTGGAAAGTGAAAAATATGTCTATTGCAATACATTTTGATCAAGGCGAACCGCCAATATCAAGACAAGAATATGTATTTCCATTTCCGCTACTGGTAGTGTGGAAGTTGTTTATTCTACGAATTATTATGTCTCGGATGCTCGCACTAAGAGTTGGAGAGTTTCGTACTCAATTTTTCTGGATTGCGAAGGTTGAACATTTATCAACGATAGCCTTCAAACGTTGACTGACATTCCCAAATGCCAGTTTATAAAATTGACTGATATCATTAAATTACCTTCAACGATTAACTTCATCATCCTTTCCTCCCTCTCTTTACGCGCTCCAAAGATCTACTTGGTCAGACTCTTCTACATGAACGACATGCGATCTTTCCCTTTCGAACTTCATCATCGGGCATTACATCCGTGTTAGCAAACTAGAAGGTTCGAAGCGCCGGACGTGCTATTTAATTCCAATTAGATTTCATCATAACGGCAAGGCATTTCGCTTCGTTTTCTAGGATTGGTTTCACAGCCAAACTAACGAAATCAAGATGTGAAAACAATCTCTCCGTCTGCACTCCTTAATTGTTCTTGCTCTGTTCGAGATCATTTTTCTGAAAAATCCGTGAGCATAGTTTTCGTGTCGCCGATAGAGGAAACTCACATTCAATCGGTGAAGGGTTCTTCATCTGAATCAAATTTAGCAACGCCCTTTACTTTGACGACTCAAACACCACAATGTGCCTTCGTTTGGCTCCAATCGCGAACTTTTAAGCTTTAAAACTTGACTTTTTTTCTGCAATCTGCTATGATTCAGTATCCCATTGCCTCCGAGCACTGTCAACATGTGTCCAGACATAACTTGACCCTTGATCTTAAACTCATGAGATGGCTGTTTTTCACTCGCAAGACGCAGCGAATGCAAGCGACATATTATGTCATCGTCACCGTCTTGTTTGACTTAATCACTAAAACTAGTCACCTACGTCTCTAACGGCTCGAAATATTTTTTTCATTGCGTATCCATCGTGTGAGTGAGTATGAAAGGTGGAAATGTTGCTTGAACAGTAATTTTTTTATGATGGAATGAGCGCGAGTGGACATACTTTAAATAGGCACGTAGGGACAAGACTCATTGTTTCTCTTAAATGTTAAAGTCTCCTGATACTAGTTCCAACATCTTCAAACTTGTGTCTTTCAAATTTCCCTCAGTCAACCTTCGATCACTGATTTTGTCATTGTATTAGCAACGTCTTAGTAAAAGATGCCGTGAACGACATGTTGAAATGCTCAAGTACGATAGTTGGATGATGTGTCATCCAGCGTAAAGTATAGCGCTCTTAAATTACTGTGTACACGTCGTTGCTTATTTTCCAATTGAGCCCTGAAAAGATCGCTGTATTTTCGAATATTTGGTGAACCTTGTATTCGAGAGTGCGACTCTTGTCGGGCAAACGAGAAGCAAACAGCTCCAATTACAAGAGATTCACTCTGTGACAGGAAACGATTGGAGTATGTTTATCGATGTACACAACTTCAAGACTTTCTTGTTATGAAGTATGACATTCGCAAGTTGTATTATTATTAAGCCCACCCAATTCGAAGCTGATTCATAAAACAAGTAGCAAAATAGGCGGAACAAGAGCCGATTTACCATTTGAAGCTGTCAGTAGGACTTATGTAACAGCTAAAGATTGTATTCACCGAGACGCCGTATCTTGGCAACCAGAATCGGAAAATTTCGAAGGCGTTGCTTTGTTGTTCTCAAGTCAATAGAGATCAAGATCTAAAATGTAACCGTTGTTTGGAGCTCTTTTTAATGAGTCGGATGCTTAATGAGTAAGTCTTGAAATTACAGCGCTCAATATTGTCGTAAAATCATGTTGCTGCTGTAAATCGATCCAGAAAACGAGCTCAAGATACAGGTGATTCATTTTCGTGATATTATGGATTACACAGTGTTTAAGGTTCATTATTTGGTTATCGAGAGCTGACGCCACCTCGTCATTTTTCTGGTGTATCGACTCAAAGTGCATGACTATGGCGGCACAATTGCAATGAATTTTACGGAGAATGACGACGAGGATTTAAAATGATAGTTGATGATTTTTACCAGCAAATTAGCTGGTATGACGTTGCAACGAAGTTTTACGTCACAGTGCCCAGGATGGCAGACAACACCCGTCTTCAAAAAGACGTTACCGATCAAACGATCTACGACTGATTCGTACAGAGAGGAGCCGGATCTGTTATGATTACTTCTACGCACGTGAATGGTCAAGTAAAGTCCAGGGGACGCACTGTATAATGGGTTGTTCTGTCGGGCTCTTTGAATTGACCGGAGAACCTCTTCGGGGGATACATTTCGACTTGAAAGAGAAGTAGTGTTTTGTGCAGCACAGGTACGCAAGTTTAATCGGGTCAAGTCGCCATCCTTACGGCCTCATCCTCGTTGATTGTCAGACACTTCTGATGGTAGCATGAATGGAAGAGATGTCACCGCCGAGCTCATAGTTGTAATTCATTACCCCTGCGAGCCACAGGTTTGGACACGGGTTGTAAAAGATCTAGACGAGCCATCTGCTCATGTTATGCTAACCTGCCGTGCATCTACTCGTACTGGGACTAAGTTGAAGCGCATGATCGTTGATGCCGTTCCAGAAGACGCACCGGAGTGGAAACTCGTTCAGCATTCGCAATAAGGGATAATCAATCGTGACGGCGGCAAGTACATCGAGTCAACGGCCTCGTTCCCTGAGAGTTGGAGTGTGAAGTTGAAACTCATATTCGCTGGTGTACTATTTCCTGAATCGCCAAATTGCTCTGACATTTTTCGGATGACGAATTTGATTCGACCCTCCCACCTGATGTTGATCTGGAATCTGGTGCGCAAGCCGGGGTGAAGATAGAATTGTGACCCAGTATCTGGCTTTATTGTTTCGTCTAACCTTTTACCATATGAAGAGGAGACTCGTACACTGAAAAGTGTGCGTACCCTCGCTCTTAAAGTAGATCGAGTTTCAAATAAGATTTTCAGCATGTCATCGACGAGTTCATCGAACCAGATTCTCAAAATGACATCTCACGAAGACGCCCTGGCGGCTATTTAAGTGCAACCTGTTTCATTTCGGCGCATCTTTCAGCTTCCTTTTAATCGTCCAGACCAATTGTTTCGAGCTAACGCGATGTATCGTGCAATCAGTGCGTGGCCTGTCGCTGACAGTGCATCTTTGGATTTCCAAGTTCGTTTGAGAAAAAGCTATGGCATAGCCTCAGTTGATGTTGCCATCTACTATGTTTCCAAGTAGAGAAGTTCAAGCCGCTGCGGAGCTCAGTGCCATCATTGACTTGTCCCTAATGGTGTTTGCGCAAGGTATATATCGACCCAGTGAAAATTTAAGCTCTCTTGGGCCATTAATGCCCCCAAGCGTCTTGTCAATCCCCGTTTCTGCTCTGGAGTGACCTCAATATTCTCTGTTTGGCTCGAAGTGATGCGGCGAAGATTTTTATCAATGACAATTGTACGCCCCAGTACGTACTTGCGGCACTTGATGATTTAGCAACTATTTCGTTTTTCAAAACGATGGCTAAAATGCCTCCAGATTGGTGAATACTTAACTCTAAAGATGCTTGGACACTCAATGAAGTTTCGCTAAGCGCGAATGGGTTAAATACAGCCAAACTCGACACGTATCAGCGACTTCTTTCAGAACATCAACTGGTCGCATTCCAAGAGACAATGTTCAACAAAGAAGACCCACTGCAGACCAGCGAGCATTATATTCACATTTCTGACTCAGGACCGCGCTGCTTTTGGTCCGACACCACGTCTCCTGTCGTCAGCAAGAGGCATGGTGTAGGCCTGATATTGTCATCAGCCTCACCGTTTGATAAAGTTGAATCCCCACTAGTCAAGTCTTTAAGGGCCAATTATGCAATTGATATTTATTGCTCAAGTCCACACTTGGTACTCAGATGGTATATATACATGTAATGTACGCACCTGATGAACCCCACGACAGGGTGATTTTTTTCGTACACTTCATTCTCAGCGACTAGGATAGAACGACCAAGTGACACACATTGTCATGGGTGACTTCAAAGTCACCATGGAATCTTTTCTGGATCAAGCTTCACCTTCCCAGTTGCATCCGGCGATTGGTAAAGAGGAACTGGGTGATTGGCTTGACGCGTTGGGCTTAATCGACGCACGGCGCTTTGTGCATCAAGATACAAAGGGCTACACAAGCTCAACACGCAAAATCGACTGAATTACTATTTTTATGATTCTTACAGTCCATCTAGTACAAACCATCTCGCTGAGATCAAGCATATAAGGGATCGAAAGTGGTATAACGAGGACCACACACCGGTGGGGTTTCAGCTACAAGCGAAGTTTATGCCAACAATGAGACGCACGCCGTGGCGATGCCCCGATTGGCTTCTACAATATCCGGATGTCATCACATACCTTGCTGCGTCGGCGGGGCGAGTGGCGATACGTATTCAAAATTTTGAAGGCGCTTCTGGATGAACGCAAACGCTCCAAATGTATTTATATTCGAAGTCGATGGGTTGAACTTCGACAAGCTTATGCGCGGGAAATGTCCAGAATAGTCACCGCAGGGAGCGATAACATTGACCTCTTCAATCTGGCTCCGATCGACTGCAACAAGTCAGCACTACAACAAACACAAGCCGATCTGAATGCATACAAGAAGACGATTCAAGAAAGAAGCGCAATAAGCAAATTTGCAGACGACTTACATCCTAGTGAGCAAGCAACAAAGCGTTTTTTTCGGCCGCCAAAACAGGACTGTATCAGGTTACCCATCACCAAATTTAACGTGGCGATGGGTCGAGGAGCGACGACCCTGTTGAAATCGAGGCGTGACATCACAGGTTTTGGGGGCAACAATTCTAATCGACCTCGCCGGATCTTCGTCATATACAGGATGCTTCATATACACCACTTCGCTTAGCGCGAATGCTACGTCAAACAGTGGCAAAACTTATGCCAGCACAACAGCGTCTGTTCGATGCGCTCATCATGCGAACGACTTATACTGGGCGATCATGAAATTCACCACTGGAAAAGCGCCGGGCCCCGACGGATTACCGATTGAGTACTACAAGATTAGCTGTGGGCTCGCATATACGAGGTTATACACATTAATCAGTCATCAAAGGGAAGATGACCAAGTTTCAACGACGGGCGCACTTTTCGCAGCTATACAAGTCCGGAGATAGATCGCAGCCTGGGATCTACTAGTAAAACTACCGTCCATTGACGCTGCTGAACCTTGATGCTAAGCTTGGTCCTAAGATTATGGCGCGGAGGCTGGAACTTGTGCTTCCTTCGCTGATACGGGAAAATCAAAGCGGGTTTGTACCTAAAAGATCTATCCGTCACTCTCTTGTTCGCTTCCACGACTTACAAGAATTATGCAAGCACTCATCCGGACGCTTGAGCTGTTCTTATCGATTTTGCCAAGGCCTTCGATAGTGTACTATGGCCGGCGTTGGACATGGTAGTGCATCACATCGGATTTGGTACGACCTATCGAGCCTAGATCAGAACATTCTACAACCAGACTTCTGTTAGTTTGCTGTTGAACAACTTACCAGGGGACCCCTTTTTGTTGGAGGCTGGGGTACGACAAGGCGACCCGCTATCTCCGATACTGGTTGTGTTTTTCATTTGAACCACTCATGAATTACTAACGCGCTCGAGTTTCGATGTGAGGATTGAATATTAACGATGGGTCATCCCACATTTGCTACTAGCTTTTGCAGACGACTGCACCGGTCAACTAGCTGATGTTGATTACGCACCTATGTGGTACAAGATTTCGCGTTAGCGTCAGGACATTAATATGAATAAAAAGAGTGTCATGCTGCTTACGCACCAAGTCGACTTGTCCAAATTGGCCACTACGTGCTTCAACGGATCTCAAAGTGTTACGACCGTTGGACATTGTGGTAATATTAGGTGTACTTCAGGGCGGACTGTGACACCCAAAGAACGATTTTGCGATATAATTAGAAAACTACGAAGACGATGCGCCATCTAGAAATTATGTGCACATACATTATTACACATACATTATGAACAAAGTGGTGCTATTACAAAGCATCATTTTACCACTACTTTGGTACACAGCCAGCGTGACGTTAATTACACCGAATATTCTGAAAGCTGTGGACGTCATCACACGCAACTTTATTTACTAAAAGGATACGGATAGTAAATCCGCAGTTGCCGGAATATTCGCTAAAAAATGGATTTACACATGTGTTTCGAGGGATAAACTAAGATTGACACCTGTCAAAGCCTTTATCCTCGATATGCACCTCAAGACATTAAGGGCCTCGATTAAAAAGTTGAATGCTGTACTTAGATGGTTTACTCCGGCACTTCAGCTCTTTACAAGAATATTAGGCTCCCTTGGTACAGGCTTCGATATTTTATACGCAGATATGAAGGGAGGGCAATGGAATGGACTACCTGACTATTGAAAAATCAACTCTACGTGTATGGGCGGAACTGCACACTACTCACGGCTTCACAAACTGAAAACTGTTCAGGTCATGCACAATGTCTACTTTACGTTTGGCAGACTAAAACCCCATTGGCCGTAGTCAGTAAAAGCACGATTAGCTTTCTGGAGGCATAATGATCACCCGCTACAAGACTTTGTAAAGTGCTATGGTTGCTTTGCGACACTAGATCTACTAAAGAGTCTACTTCAGGTGGATTCGCCAGACCTGCGTCGAAAACACAATTATTGCTCGCAACTTACCTTGATCTGCCTCCCACACGGACCTATATATGGGCCAACTCGTTCCATTCACACTGAATGTGCAACTCATGGCTGAAGTTTTGAAGACAGAATGGTCATAGACATGTCCAACCGGGACTTTTTAAACTATTATTGAAGTCTAAGTTGGGTACACCGCTTCCAAATCTCCAAATTGACAAGCTTCAGATTGTGGGCTAAACTCCAACGGACGATACATGGCGTTTTGAGTACCGATTGGATCGTCATGTACTCCCAGTATGCTCCGATCTTAAGTTATGTATACAACACAATGTATTAGGATTTCGATACAAGTTTCGATGGAGAACGGAAGTCATATCAAGCAATACATGTGTACATGGATGCATAAATGTTGAAGATGCCCATCATGTTTTTTGGACTTGCAGAGTGGCAATACATCAATGGAAAGTCTTTCTCCAACCTTTCAACTAGTTCATTATTGGAATTTTCGAATGGTCTATGATTGTCTCCCCCACTCTATTCGACTTCAACATACGACTATACAACGCTATGGAACTCACGCATTTAAAGCAATCTTTACTGTTGTGAGATTTGTGTACTTCGCGCATTGTGGCTTCATCGAAACAAACCACTTTAAAACATTGAAGATTCGACTTCCCAAGCCTTTGTACGTCATCATGCCTCTGCATACATTAAGCTGCACTTTTGGCAGTCTCAATCACATGCAGCTTTAAAAGGCAAACTTACATGGATACAACTGACACATGAATTGAATCACATGCAACATAATGCATTTGTGACATTGTCTACAACCGCTTCAGCCGTTCAGCACTCGATTATGGCAACAATGGATAATTCACGACGACAGATGCAACTAAACCACTTCTACAGCATCTACAACACAAGCTATACCGCCAACAGGGATGTCAACGTCAAGTTTAACAGCTACGGGAATTGAAACCGTCAGACCAGATTCCCAGGTGGACATCCAGTACAGCTGCTAGAAAAGTCAAGCTAGGCCTGACCGGGACAAGGACAAGCAAGCTCAGATCCAGGTTGGATAAGGGAATTTATGGGATGCAAACGCTTCCGTATGTATCAACCGCGCTACTGGCCGGCTTCCAACAGAAGTCCTCCGCATTAAACACCAGTTCAACTTAGCGCCGACTCTCTCCACTGCTTGCTACAAGCAGTCCATCCTAATAGGCAGGACAGGTCAAATTTCTCATGTTGGACAAGGCAACACATGCAGCACATGTCTGCAGTCAAGACGTCGTGTAAAACTTGACATCCTACGCGTCAAACACAAGTAGCAACTCAGATGGAGATCCTTAGTCACTTTTTGATCATGGCGCGTAAAATTCGCGAGCTATTTTGACGATTAAGCTTCCCGCTCTAGTCGTTCTCAGGCCTTCTTCACCGAAACTTTTCGCAATACCCTCACCACGTCTTGAGACGATAAAGACGGCTTTGGACTCATCCTTCAAAATCAAACACTGCTGTCCACACAGCCAATTTGGACTACCACGCCCCGGTGTGCTTAGTCTCTACAAGTTGAACGCTAAGCAACATGATCAAGATATTAACACTAGGTCTCTATGCCATCCACACAAGTGCGAACGACTCAAAATCCACGGTTATTACAAGATATCAAGTCTAACGCGTATACGGCTATCCGAA